CACGCGCTCCTTGGCCAGCTCACTACCACAGGACTTGGTGTCTGCAGTCCGCCCCTCCAACACAGACGCCCTTGCTGACCTTATCTTGCAGGGACACCTCCTTTCAAGGCCCCATTTAGGTGGCCCTCCTGAGTGAAGCCTTCCCTAGTTCTCCTTGGAGAGGGTGGACGGCACCCTGCTGGCGTCCCCTCTGTCACTGCAGAACTTAGTCCTGGCCTAAAGAATGGCCCCGTCTACTGCTTCCTGTTTGCTTCTGTGTCTCCAGCTGGACTGTAGCGTCTCTGAGGGCCACACCGATGTCCTGTGTTTCTCTGTGTCCTCAAGTCCAGCTTGGCACCCTGGGGCCCTGCAGGTCTGGGGGTCAGACAAATGAACAAAGACTCAGTCCCTGCCTCCGAGGGCCTGGAAATCAACGTGGCTCTGGACGGGAGAGGAAGCTGCAGACACCCCGACAGGAGGCCCTGAGGTGGGAGGGGTCAGGGTGCCACATTTTTGTTTTCTTTTTAATTTTGACCGAAGAGCGGGAAAGTGACTTGAGCAATGCTGCTGTCCCAGGTGGGCTCCCCTGTGATCTTGGGAAGGGAACCAGCCGGAGTTCTCATGGCCACAAGCAACAGAATTGAGCTCTGGATAACGGAGGCAGGAAATGAACTACTGGTAAGATGGCGCAGGGCTATAGAATCAACCAGAAGGCTGGAGTATAGGCCCAGACAACAGATGGGAACCAACAGAGGCTGGTGGCCAAGAGCACGCCCAGATCAGGCCCCAGGAGCCCAGGCCAGGTGCTTTGCATGCTTGTGCATATGAAACTAGTCATAACTATTCCTAAATTTTACAGCTCCCCTCAAGCTTCCAAGTTGAGTGCAGCTAGACTTTTGCAATGAGTTTATCATCACTGTGACAAAATACCTGAGATAAACAATTTTTTTTAAAAAAATATTTTTTTAGTTGTAGGTGGACACATACCTTTATTTATGTGGTGCTGAGGATCAAACCCAGGGCCTCACACATGAGAGAACAGCGCTGTACCACTGAGCCCCAGCCCCTGACACCTGAGATAAACTATTTTTAAGGACAAAAGATTTATTCTGGCTCATGGTTTCTGAGCACGGTCACTCGGCCCCACCCCTTTGGGTCTGTGTCGAGGCTGAGTATCATGGAGAAGAGCACTTGATGGTGGCCAGGAAACGAGAGAAAACAGAGGCCTGGTCCCAATGTCCCCTTCCAGGACACGCCCTGCTGACCCCACTTCTCAACTAGGCCCCATCTCTCAAAGTTCGCACACCTCCAAGCATCCCCAGCAGTTAGGGCTGGAGCATTGGACACGTGAGCATTTGGGGACGGCTCAGGGCCTGGTCCATCCCTTCCTGCCTGCAGTGGTCAGTCTTCCCTGGCCAGGAGGAGCCTTGGATCATGCTGGGTCCTGGGCAGTGGGTGGCTCTGTAGGGCTCTGCCCTGTCAAAGGGCTTCCACACTCTGCTCCCAGAGAGGGCCGGGCAGACCCCATTCTCTCCACCCTGGAAAAGGACCAGGCTCAGAGGGATCAAGGGAGGTTCCGAGATCCCATAAGAGGGTCAGAGGTGCCTCTTTACCCACTCGTCTCCTTTTCTGGGTGCCGCGGGCGTCGGGGAGTGGAGGAAGTTTCCTAAGGAATGGGTGATGGAGAGAACTCTGGGAGCTGTTGATGGAACAGCTCTGAAATGGCTTGGGGAATGGAAACCCCCAAATGGGGAAGAGGCTAAAATTCCAGGAATTCATCTCCATGGAGATTGAAAACTCCTGACTTGCATGTTCAGAGGACAGAGGCTGAGTTCTGCTCCCCAGTTCTGAGTTCTCTGCCCACATCCCCATCCTGCTCTGTCTGGTACACGCACAGAACAGTGAGACTGCTATTCACATCCAGGATTCCACGCTCTTCACAGGGTGTCCGTGTGCTCACCTCTGGGCCTTGGCACATGCTGTTCTTACCACCTGAAACACCACGGTGCTTTCTCCATCTGTGCAACTCCCAGTGATCCCAGCAAAACCCAGCTCGGACATCTCCTTGCAGGCAGTCTTTCTTGGACTTAACCTCTTGAGAATGAATCATGCTCTCTCTTTGGTCACTCTTTCCCTGCTAGACTATTATTATTTTTAAATATTTTTTTTTAGTTGTCAACTTTATTTTATTTATTTATATGCAGTGCTGAGAATCGAACCCAGTACCCCACACATGATAGGCGAGTGCTCAACCTCTGAGCCCCAACCCCAGCCACCTTTTTTTGTTTTTTAATTCCCCTATTACAGATTCAGAGTGGTTCTATAGGCTGGTTGCACCCTGACACCCCAGTGTCAGGTACAAAGCCTAGTGCTTGGTACAAAGCGGGGACTTGACAAATACAGACGGAATCAAAGTAGCTGCCAAGGAATCCTATGAACAGAAGCATTATGTCCACATCTGAGGAGGTGATGGCCTCCCTGGACTCAGTACTATTTTGTTCACGTGTAAAATGGTTTGCAGACAGTTTTGGGCAGTCAGGGCTTCAAAGAGATAGTGATAAATCAGAAAGAAAGAAGGTGTCAAGGTTGGCGAAACATTGGGAAACTCTTCCATGTTCATTTTATGAATGGGAACACCAGGCCCTGAGGGGTCCCGTGTCCAGCCCCACAACCTTTCAGCTGATCTAGAACTTTGGGAACTCAGATCTCCTGATACCCAGCTCCACCTCTCTGTCTAAAACTGAGACTATCTGGGACAAGCCCATTTTCCTGTGTAGCCCTCCCACTGGGAGCCCCATCTCAGGAAACAGCACCTGTCTGTCCACCTGCTTCCACCAGCCAGAGGCTGGGCGGGGCTTCCCCTTGACACGGGCCTCTCGGCCAGCCTCACTCCCTTGCTAGTCCTGTAGATTTTCACCCTCCTCCCCCAGCACTCCTCCACCCCTGCCCCGGCCATGCCAGGCTTCTGGCACCAATTACCATGGCAACCGAGACAACCTGATGAGGTGCGCTCCATCAGAGCCGGGATCTGTGTTTCCCGCTGGCTGACGTACCCTCGGGTCTGCAGTCACAGGACTGCCAACTTTTTCTGTAAAGGGTCAGCTAGTCAATGCTTTTCTTTGGTGGACAGTGCAGTCGACAGCTCCTTAACTCCGTGGCTGTAGCAGGGAAGGAGTCACTACCATAGGTATGTCTGAGAGACACTGAAACTTTAGTTTCAACAAAACTTTATTTACAAAAACAGGTGATGGGATGGATTTGACCAATGGGCAGCCATGTGCTGACCCCTGGTCTAGAAAATATCCTGGCACATAGTAAACACTTTTAATGGAAGCAGACTCCTCTTGTTATTCCACCTCCCAGTGCACCCCTATTTTTATAACTACAGATCGTGATAACACTCCTGCCCCTCAGCCTCCTCCCCAGCCATCTGCTTGGAGCCTTTTCCTTTAGGTTTAAGGGCAAGCCCCATGGGGGCCGACTCACCCCATGGTGTTCCCTGCGCGTGCCCCACCGACTCTGCCTGCCAGCCTCTCTGGCCGTCTTTCCCTTCCTGCTAGCTACTACCCACAACAGGGCTTTGGCACATGCTATTTCTCCTGCTAAAACTCCATTCCCTCCATTGCTTATCCTTCAGATCTCAGCGGGGTCTCCTCTTCCAAGAAATCTTCCCTGACCAAGAAAGACTTCCCAGGTATGTTAAAGCACCATTCACCACACCTAGCATGATTCTGGCTATATTTCAGCTAGTTATGATTCATTAGCCAAGGTCTGTTCCCTTTCAGAGCATGAGGCACAGGACCCTACTCCTAGAACCCACCTCAGTGAGTTAGCACATAGTAGCAAATATGAGTGAATGAACTCTAAAGAAGTGGAGTTCTGGAAACCCAGGGATTCCGGTTCACTTCCTGCCTCCACCATAGGGACAGTTACTGGCCCTCCAGAGGCCTGCTTTCTCACCATGAGAATGAGAAAATGACAGGACCTTGCAGAAAGGCTGTGTGGCAGATAGGTAGAATGACTGGAGGCTCAGACAGACTCAGCCCAGAGCCTTGCTCCAGGCAGCTACTATCAATATGCTCGCCCATACAGTGACAGGTCCAGAAATCCTGTCAACTGGAAAAGAGTCAAAGAAAATTCAGAATGTTTAGCCCGGGGAAATGAAGATCAAGGGCAGGGAACAACCCTCGTCAATTACCTGAATAAGACTTTCCCTGGATCCAGCCGTCTCAAAGTCAAGAGGTCCCTGTACCTATAGGTGTGCAAAAGGAGCTGGCAGACCATCACTCAGGGAGCTGCGGCAGGGACTCTCGTACGGTGAGGGTGCCTAGGTCTCCTCTAGGTTCTCTTCCAACTCGGTGTCCCCCATTTCTAAGCATCTGGAGTCATTCTGACATATAGGGAAGGAGCTCATGAGTAGGGTGGGCACAGGCAGCTGCTTGGAGCCATGCTCCGGCCAAGCAGTTCCAGCGACTCTGGGTGCAGAGAGGGGGCGCTTAAAGCCAACAGATGGCGCGGGCTCACCTAGGCCGAGCGCCCGCTCGCTTGCTCCGTTTTCCCGGGAGCGTTTCTGCACTCGGCCGGAGGCGCGGAGCGCGCAGGAGGCTGGCCGGGTCCCCAACCCTCTGTGCACCCCTCTGCGGGGCTGGGCCCAGCGGGCACCGCTCCCACACACACCTGCGGCCGCTTCCGCGGGCTTCCTCCCTGCCCCTTTGGGGGATTCGTGGAGTTGCCACAGCAGCCGGTGCCATGACATCGGCAGAGGGCAGCTCCGCCAGCACTGAAATATTCATGCTCTGAGTTCTCAGCTGGGCTCTGCGCTGCTCCCGGGGGTCCTCGCGGGCGCGGTGGGGCGGGGGCCTGGGGTCCCGGCTGCGCCTCAGGGTGGGGGCGTGCAGGCACGCGGGCGGGGCTGGGCGCGGCGGAGGTGCGGGAGGGAGCGTCAGGAGGCGGGGTCTGGGGCGGGGGCCGAGCGGGGCGGAGGCAGCGAGGGAAAGTTGATCGCGGACTTGAGCGCCGGCTGTGGCTCAGGAGAGAGGGGTGCAGGCGGCTGGCGCGATGCGCGGCCAGAGAAGGCGTCCGACGGCTGCCGGGCGCTGAGCCGGCGGGGCGGGGCGGCCGGCCCCGGGAATGGAGTGCGGGGGTGCAGAGCCTCGGGACGTTCGGTGTGCGCCTAGTCCGAGTCCGCGGCGCGCCTGAAGTTGCAGCCGGCGAGCGGCGATCGGGCTGCCCGAGGGACCGGAGAGCGGCCGGCGCACCGCGGATGAGCCTTCGTGCCGGCGGCGAGACGCGGCGGTGGCCAGGGCCGGAGCAGGCGGCCTGCGGGGGCCGATCCGGCGGAGAAGAGAGCCCGAGGCGCGGCGGGGCGTCGCTCCATTCACGCACACGGTACCCAGAGTCGCTCACCGCCCCTTCCTTCCCTGCTTCCCTCCCTTCCTCGCGCTGTTCGCCAGCCGCGCGGCAGGAAAGTTGGATCGCGGGGTTGAGACCGCAGCGGCCAAGCCACTTGTTCCCGTCGCGGCCATCACCCGCGGCGAGCGCCCGGGGCCTCCTGCCCGATGCCCCTGGCCCAGGCCCTGCGCCTCGCTCCGAGCCCGCGGACCGACGCGCGGCAACTTTAATTCCCGGGAACTCTAATTCCCTCCGCCTTGGCCTTGGGAGGACACGCACCCGTTCCCCACCCTTGTTCCCGGACTGCGAGTATTCAGGTGCCTTTCTCTATGCGCAACAGAGAGGGTCCAGGTCTGGGAGGGGAGAATTTCGGGGATAAAGAGGACGTTAGGATCCAAGCCAGTCCCTTCTGGGCTCTGGGTCCCTATTTGGACCGAGGATATGGGGCGTGGCGCACCTCCACGGCTGGGTGGGCAGTCCCGCTGGAGGAATCTACGATCACGTAGCTCTCCTCTCCCCTCATCCCCTTCCTAAGCCCACGGAAGACCCCAAGGGACTCTTGTAACCTCCCCAATCCGGTCCCACCATGGGAAGTCGCGCCCCTCGCAGCGCTGAGAGCCTCGTGCTGCGGCTCACTCTCCGTTTCCGTGCCCTGGAGCTGGCCGGCTACCGGTGGTGGTGGCTGTGGCTGGCGGTCCCCAGGGGCTCGCCACGGGAGCATTACTCCTCTTCTCCCGGCAGCTTAGCCCGGGACTCGTGCAGAGTCCGCGCATTCCAGGGTGGCGGCAGGGCCAGCCAGCGGGCACTCTATGCCTTCTTTCCTGGAGCGGGCACCTGGAGCCCCTGCCTCTGTGCAGAGAACGGAGATCCAGTGCCCTGCTGCCTCTAGCCGCCGCATCTCGGCGACCCCAGCCCCAGCCCTGTTGCTGTCGGGCCTACGGGAGGAAATTAGCCTTTCCTGGGTAGGAACACGCCTCCACCCTTCCGAGTAACACAGAAGCAGACCTGCCTCTTCAGAGTACTTGCCTTCTGGGACCAGAGGGACATTGACCCTAGCCTTTCAGCTTCTTAGCAAGTGCCCCCAACCCAGTTTGAATTTGAAATAAACTGGGAAGACACAAGGGTTGTGTGTGTGCGCTCGCGTATGTGTTTGTGTGCTGGGTGGAGTCAGACCCTTGCATAGGGAAGAATTAGGCTGTGGGGTGGGGGTGGGTGCCTGCAGACTGACTGGGGCCAGGTGCAAGGTGGCGATGAGTCAGCCCACGGTCGGGGAGAGCTGGCTTGGATGAATGCTTGGTTCCTGGTGCAGGGATAGGCGCACTGCGGTCTGCACCTGAGGGTGAGGGGCCAGATGTCACTGCTGAGGAGGGGCTGGGAAGGGGCACCTTGGCTGGAGAAATAGCCATGCTTGAAGCTGTTTCTCCAGGGCTGGGCAGGGCAGGAAGGCCGAGTTGCCTGCATGGCAGAGAGCTAGAGTACACCTTAAACTGAAAAGGTGGCACTACAGAAGTGACTGGTGTGAACAGAAACTCTGCCATGCTGCTTGAGAACAGCGAGGGTGGGAGGCCCCCAGCCAGCGCCCTGGCCTTGGCCTTCCTGGGCTGAAAATAGCTGTGCTCCTCACAGCTGCTTATCAGAGTGCTTGATTTGAGGTTATGGTGACTGATGGTCCTGGTTGCCTCCCAAATAGCTGCCCCACCCTACAGCCTCCTTACCTTGTGTTACCATTTGAGCTTCATTTCTTTGAGCTCAGTGTTTTAAAGAGCACCTTTCTGAAGTGCTGATTTAAAATGCACCTCTTTCTGGGAGGCGGAGGTCTCACGGCACCTTGCCGCTCTGAGTTGACCCGCAGCGTCTGCATCACCTAGGAGCCCGTTAGGAATGCAGGTGCACTTAGCTTTCCAGGGAATGAGCATTGCACAGCCTCCTGGAGGCAGCCTGTCGAACAAGGCAATCGACTGAACGCCAGGGTGAGAACCAGATGAAACTTCTTTGCCTGGACACTTGTGCTACAGTTAGGTTAACCATCTGCTGCTGGCTTCTCGAGGTTGTACCTGATAATGCCACAAGGCTGTCTGTGTTTGGGGGGCCTTTAAGCAGATCCAAGTGTCAGCTCAACTGTCCATGCAATTAGTACCTTGATGTAGGTGCACACGGGCCTGGAAGAGGGGGACAGAGAGCCTACTGCACACGCTCTGCCTCCAGGGCTCCTGGGGCAGAAGCAGAAGAAATGAAGCAACCCTTCTCCATCTCGTCTACTCCTCCCAGATGGGTGGCCATGGGATCTGGAGAGGGAGAGCTGCTTCAGGCCAACTTGGGACGGCCCACGCAGGGGGAGATATTGGCTAGGTTCCACCCACCCCCCAACCTGGACTGGACATACCACCTCTACTGCCCTGGAAGGTCCTAAGCTCTGAGGTTGATACCAAGGAATGGTGGTAGGACACCCCCTGGTCTCTAGAGAAATGATGATGATGACCCAGGCTGGCCTGAAATTTGGATCAGAGGCCTGGTGGAGCCCTGTGTCACAGATGGAAGGCCATCATGTGGCTCCCACACCCTAGCCCTGCCCAAAAGAGCACCATTTCCTCCTCAGCTAGCCTCTGCAGGAAGAGGGCAGCTCTGCCAGGTGCCACGTGCCTAGGAGAAGCTGAGGATGCAGACTGGTGTGGTCATGAGTCTTACAAAGCATGACGCCATGTGAAAGCATTCTTTCGTTGCTTTGAGAATCAATGAGTTAACATGTCTAGGTGATGGGCTGGGGTGGTGGCTCCGTGGTAGGCTGCTCGCCTAGCATGTGTGAGGCACTGGGTCCGATTCTTGGCACCACATAAAAAATAAATAAAGCAAAGGTATCGTGTCCATCTACAACTAAAAAAACAATTTTTTTTAAATGGCTTAGTGAATAAAGTCTTACAGTTTTCTTGAACCTTTGGGTTTTAAAACATTCAGTGTTCCATGTATATAGATGGTTTTAAAAATTAATTGCTTTTGGGCTGATTGGTGTCTTATTCAATGATAGTTTTTTTTTTTATTATTCATTTTGTTTTATTTTTAGCTTTGATTTGAACCCCTTTCAGTACTGGGCCCATCCAGTTTGTCATTAGTAGGTGAGCAAGGTCATTTGTGAATGAGACCCTGCTGGATGGGTTATTTCAGGAGGGAGTATTTTGCCTTTGGTGGAAAAGGCGAGGGGATTGGGTGCATTCTCCAGTTCTCCAGAAGAATCTGTACTTCTGCACATTCCGTGGGTATACACTGCTCTAGAGTCAGGACTCCCGGGAGCCTTCTGGGCCCCTGGGGGTGGGGGAGGGCTTCCTCCCAGCCTGGGCCCCTCCCTCACTGTCTTCCTTAACGATGCTTCTCTCTGCTCTGCACGGTGCTATCCCCAGGCTCAAGCTGTGTCTCTCCTCCTCATCTCCCCAGATGGGCCACCACACTAGGGAGTGGGTGCTCCATCACTGGGGAACTGAATGGGTACTGTCAGGTGATGGCCCTCCGCCTCCTCCAGCCCTGGTACTAGGTGATCATCGGCACACTAAGCACTACTGTGTCTAAGCAGTTCCAACTGTTCATGTTGGTTACTCCCAAGGAGAGAGTCTGGTGCCCATCTTGCTAGACTCCTGGCTGTGGGCACGTGATCTTGGAGTTGGGGCCTCAAACTCACATGCCTCGAGGGGCTAGGATGCAGACAAAGGGTAAAGCAGGGCTAGATATAAGGCAGTAGGGAGTGGTGGGGACTGTGGAGTACTGAAGGGCTCCTAGAATAGCTGTAGGCAAAACCCTTCTATGTGACAGATGTCAGAATAATGGTTCCCTTAGGACTCTCATGACCAGGACACAAGAGGTGCTTCTGGGGTGCTGGAAATTTCTATAGCTTGATATGAATGTCTACAAAAGTCTTTGTAAAAGAGCCAATTCACAAAACGTGAGAACATTTATGGGCCATATTTATTTGGATTCAGTATGCAGATAGCTCTATAGAGTCCCAGAGGGCAGGAAATGCACATTGTCACCAACCTCACTGTCAGTGAGAAACTGGCATAGTGAAGAAGTGCCACAAGAAGATGACTTTCTAGTCTTCCCCTGGGAGGTGTGGTCCAGTTCTGTCCTGGGGAGTGGGGTCTGCTGGGTCCTGTAGTGGCTCCGAGGTAGGTCTGTACTTCTGAGCCTCAGGATTTGTGCTCTTGGGGCTGTGTCACACTCAGATAGGGAAAGGTCCCTTGGCTGGTGGAAGGGGAGTGGGAAATGTTAAAGACTCTCTGAGGCTGTGTGGCTGAGGGTGACACCGTGCTTGGTTTTAGCACTTATATTGTTGTAAAACTCCTCCTGGGCCAGCTGTGACTTTGATCATCACTCTTTCCCTTCATGATTTTTATAAGGCAGCTGGGGGGCAGGCAGAACTGGGGTTGGACAACAGTTCTGCTCTTGAGCTCTGAAGCCTTGGCTCTGGCATAAAGCTTGGCTCAGGCCTTAGTTTCCACATCTGTAAAATGGGAATAATTGTGGGGCAAGGTAGTAAACACCTGTCATCCCAGCGGCTCAGGAGGCTGAGGCAGGAGGATCACAAGTTCAAAGCCAGCCTCAGTAACTTAGCCTGAGGCCCCAAGCAACCCAGGGAGACCCTGTCTCTAAATAAAATATATAAAAAGGGCCGGGGATGCAGCACAGGGGTTAAATGCCCCGGTGTTCAATCCCCAGTACCTTAAAAAAAAAAAATAAAAAAAAAATAAAAAAACCTGAAATAATTTTCAGTTGCTTCTCAGACTCAAGGTGGGCCTATAGAAAACCTGGCACATAGTATATAAAGCACAATATGGTTACTTTTTTATTTCCCTTTTTACTTAGTTATGTGTTAGGCACATTCTGTTCTGGCAAAAAGAGGTGAAACCTCCCCTGATTTTCAGAGCTTGACAGTTTCTAAGTTCATTAATTCAGTTCTGTCTGAAGACTGAGTGTGTGCGTGTGTACACTCAATATTTGTATTGCTAGTCCTG